ATGCGACGGCAAAAATGCAAAAATCCTGATTTTCGTAATAGAATCTATAGTCTTTTTGCCCTGTTGTACCGCCATCTTGGATTTATCATGTAGGCCCCACCTGCGCTAGGTATGCGTTAGCAATCTAGATCTCCTATATCTATGGGCTACGTTACTGAACTTTTAACCCTAATCTAATCTTAATCTATTCTGACCCCCATCTAACCCCAATCTAAACTTGACGACCTTTTTTTTAATCTATCCTATCCCAGCGCAACCTCCCTCCCTTAAGACTGCATACGTTCCCCAGCGAATTAACCCAATTTTCAATTTAGATTTAACGCAAATGTAATCAATTTTTCCTAGGCCTTGGGCATCATATAAGGCCACCATATTTTAAGTTATAGTGGCAATTTAACAATGTTTTTCCATAGGGCGAATACACAGCCGAGGCCGTACCTTTTATTATATTTGGTGGAATGCTTCTGCTGTCAGGTGCACTTGCCCTATTGCTACCAGAAACGTTAAATGTGAAACTGCCGGAGACACTGCAGGATGTAAGAAAACTTGAAATGCCACAAGAAGGAAAGGGAAAGAAGAGCCTTGTTGCTGAGAGAGAAAATATCGAACTTGTCTCGTGAAAGTAAAGATAGTTAGATTAATGTTAGCTTCGTGAATGTATGAGCATAATTAGTTACTACATATTATAGCCTGCCGAGCAGGGTTTGGTAGAAAACGAGGGAGGGGATGCAGGATCGCAGTTGCAGAGTTGGGGTGAAATGGATGATTCCAGCTATAGACGAAATTTTGATCTGGACAAGAAGAACTTGCTGGAAAGATAACTGGAAAGAGCATCTTAAAATGAGTAAAATTGCCAAGTTTTGTTGTGAATTGTTGTAAAGTGAGGAAAATATAGCCCTGTGAAGTTCGCAAATTTTGTATATATTTGCATTACGCGCGGGAAAAATAACCATTTTTGAGCCAAAAGTGGTTATTTTCACCGCGCGTATATATATAATTATATATATATATATATACAAAATTTGCGAACTTCACAGGTCTATATATGTTCTTCATTTTACAACATTTAGCACTGAACCAATCTTTGCCGTTTTACTCATTCAAAGACTGTCTTTCTAGCTGTGGTGTTGGATTTCGCTCTTCTTGCCTTGATCAAAATTTAGTCAAAAGCTGGAATCACCCATTTTGAAATGAAATTGAAAAACTAAAAAAAAAACTAAAACTGAAAATGAAAAAAAAACCTGGGAAAAAAAACCTGGGAAAAAATAGAAATTGAAAAAGAAAATTGAAAATTAAATTTTTGAAATTGATTTTTTTTTTAATTTTCTTTTACTTTAATGTACCGTGAAATGTATACAGGTTATAACCACTTGGAGGAGGTGCTCCTATCTCTCGTCAGTCAAAAAAGTGTCCGCAAAAACATGGCGGATTTTCACGTTTGCTGACGCCATATGGTTCCTCCGGCTCATGGCAATTACCACTGACCAACCGCGATCCTAAGCATCCGACAAGGAC